GTGCTTTTGAGGCTGGCTTCTCTTTTCCAAGAAAATTACCAAATAAGGAAATTTTTTAGGAAAAAGGGGATCAGCGGTAATAAAAACTTTGTAACAATTGTTTTATTTTACTTATTCTATTGCTTAATTTATATAAATTATTTGGAATCTATTGTAATAAATTATGATTTTTTTTTTTTTGGTATTTAAATTATTTGATCTTTCTATTTTATTAATAGAAAATTGACATTTTTTTAATTAAAAGACTTTTTATTACTATTATTGTTAATAAAGAAATAGTTTTATTATTTTCATAAGTTTATTTTTTATTTATTTTATATGAATTTTATTTTATTTTTTATTGATATACAGTATATAGTTTATTAAAATCCATATTATAATTATAATTTATTTTTTATCTAAATTTTTATTTTGACTTTGTATTATATTTGATTTTTACTTTTTTTATTTTATTAATTTGTTATTTAGACTCAAATTATATTGATTCAATATTTGATTATAAAGTTTTTATTCTTGTTTAAAATATTTTTTAGTACTTCAGACAAGTTTATACTTATGAATAAAGATATATTATTTTAAGGTATTATTTTAATTTTGTGATAATAAGAAATAGATAATATGTGAAGTTGATATTATCATCTTTTTTCTGATTGTAAATTAGATTTTAATTGGTTTTTCTTTTTTTAAAAAAAAAATAAATAATAATAATTAGTAAAATAATATATTTCTATTCCTGATGTTTTTAAATAGTTTTGTTATATATTTTGTATATATTGATTTGAAGAATATAATGTTTTTCTTGTATATTTAGACTGATTCACTTTTTTCAAGAAAATTATTATAAAAAATCTTTTTGAAAAAAGAAGAATTAGCAAAAAAATATTTTTATTATTATATATTTAATTTTATATATTTTATATATTTTTGAAAATAAATATTTATTCTCTTACGATATACTTTTTACTATGATTTCCGATTGAAATAATAATATTCAATATACAGTATCTTTATATTTTAATGGTGTAGTAAATTTTAATAATTGTTTTTAATATATATTAAAATTGATTGAAATTAAAACAAAGTTGACTAAAATTAAGATGACTAATTGAAATTAATAAAGTTAAACAAAATTAGATTATCTTAGATGAAATTAGGAGTTAGGCGAAATTGGTTTTTTTGAGCAAAATTAACTTTTTTTTCTAAATGTATACTTTCCTTAAATACATGTTCGCACTTTGATCTTCAAGGAAAGTGCATTTAGAAAAGATTATCTGTATATCTACTGCATATACAGTATATACAATATACAGTATATATAGTATTTTAATCCGCAATCAATATATGTATATATACATAAAAGATATTTATTTGTTTATTATTATAATTTAATAATAGGTAAATAAAATTTAAATATACTGTATACTGTATATTTAATAATAATTGATTTTTTGTTGGATACTATAATAATAAGATCGATTATTTATAAAATCAATTGTTTAATATACTGTATAAAGTCCATAATAAATTAATGTCAAAAACTTTGTTTATTATAAAAATCGGATTAAAAAAAACTTTCTTTAGAAGATCAAAGTGACATGTGTCACTACTACTGTGCTTTGCCTTAGTTAGCACGCTAGAACTGACTGCACAAAAATTATTATGACCCATCTATCCACTTGTTAATATCGAAAGACACCTGGTAGATGACAATAATCAGGTTATGTATAATACGCTTTACAGTAGGAAAAAAATTTTTTTCTTATTCAAATAATTGTTCGATGGTATTGTACTGCATGTATAAATTTCTCAAGTTTATAGGGACACGTATCGACACACGTGGAATAATTGACAGTGATAATTTGACAATGTCAAATGTCGATGAATAGTGAAACCCCTGTCTCCGTGTTACAGTAGCACATTGGCATGAACAATAGTCATACAGACTAAAAAGTCTATTCAGCACGGTAGTTCATTATATCGAGATGCAATTAACAATGTTCGAATCATTTTTGAGATACGGAGCACGATCGCTTCGATCTTCCATATTTGTATAAATTACACAATGTCAAACGGAGATCTGCAATTTCTAAATATAGAATTAATGTTGTCGTGGGGTAATTTCCCACTTTAACTGGCGCAACATATACTGTACATACTATTCCAAAGGATGCGATTAAGCATCAATGCTATTATTATTAATGGTGAAATATTTACAAAAGCGTCACTATAAGAATGAGCTTGTTGGATGTGCATATTATTATACATAGTAGTACTATTATTACTACAAAAAAAAAAAGAGGCCTACATCGCATATGATGATGGTGGAAGAAATTGTAACCTTTCATAGAAAAAAAAAAGAAAAGGTAATGTAGGCCGAATTGATGTGGTGTCAAATAATTTTTCATAATTAAAACTCTCACAAAAAAAGGAATCATATTTTTTCCCTCATCATACCGAAAAAAAAATTTTTTGCACCCATCAGGTGCAAGATAATTTTGAATTTGGTAGATTCAACGAAAGGGAGCATACGAAGATACGAAAAATTGGGAATAAAGAAAAAACAAAAAAAAAACGTATTATTGATGAAATGGGTGGAGTCGGAAAACGAGGGGAGATAGGTATCGGATGTGTGGAGGAAAAAAAAAATTACGAAAAAGGTATATACGGACGGTTTTTATATACATGCATACAGTGCAAACGAAGTTGATTTTTACAAAAGAGAAATAAAAAACAAGAAATGTATTAATACTAATAAAGAGAAAGATGAGATCATACGTTCTCCCTATTACTTAAGTCTAATGGATTTGAGGATTGGGAAAATATTAATTTTGAGTTTATGGATATAATGGTGGAGAATTTTTTTTATAAGTGGAGAAAGGTGATGTGAAAATTTCAAAAAGAATAACCCCCCCAAAACGAATAAATTATTTTTGAAGAAAGAATAAATAACGAACATGATCGTCTAATTTAAAAAATGTCTTCAATATCGTCGTCTAATTATCACTACCGCTTCTTTCCAAAAATCACTTATTTGAGGTGATGAGGTTGAGAGAAGGAACTGGTCGGAAAACTTTGTGGTAAATAATGCTCATTCTGTGATAATTGTTGCCACTGTGGTTCGGGCGGCGGTAGATTAGGGCATCCTCGTGCAGATCGCGTAGGGTCCTCGCATTCTGGAAACGGAGGAATGATCATACATATCCGTTTCCCCGTCTTCTGGGTAGTAACTAGGTATCTACCGTTGTTTGTTGACATTTGCGATGGCGTTTTCGCGTCGTTTAATTCGAGATCATCTATTGTGACTGATGGTTCACAAAAACAAATATCCCCATCCCTCTCGCAAAATAAAGGTGGATTGATTATATCTTCGACTGACATCGAAGAAGTGGATGAAGGGTTAGTCCCATTTTTGGTTTGTTGACGATGAAAAGAATATTTCTCTTTGATCTGTTCATTATGAAAATCAAACGACGATAAATACGAAGGTAACACTCGCGGTTGATAATTGATGTTGTCGAGTGGCAAGAGTGAGGCGTAGTGTTTTGGAGAAGCAGGCGACAAGCATTGTTGATATGATGATGAATTACGAACAAATTGTCTCGATGCTGAACCACTATTGGAACCGTAGTCAGACGCATCGCCCATGACAACGTCACATGAATTTTCGCCCTTGTGCAATTCTTGATATATTTGGTTTTCGCTCATTTGTGTAGACTCTATTATATCTTGTACTGAATAAATGGATGAACCGCTGCAGGAGTTCACGTCTTTGCTACCAGAGATCTTACTAGCAAGTTGAATCTCCGTTGACGAGATGCCAAGACTACCATCGCATAATTCATTTCTTTCGCCCCTTCGTTTCTCCAATGACGCCACTTTTTCCCTTAGAGATCTGTTTTCTTCTTGGACTTGTGCACAAACCAGTCCCATCTCCTTCAACTGATCTTCGTATTCTTTGACTTTGACTTCCAGACCTTTGACGTAAGCATCACGGCGCTGACGGAACTTTCGTTGGTTGCTCAAATTCTGTTTGTGTTTTTTCTGATGAGGAAGAAAAAAAGATGTAAGCTGATCGGAAAAATATCATTGATAACAACATTTGATTCGAAGTAAAACCTACATCTGTGGGGGGAGTTGCTAAAGGCTTACGTCCGCGTCTGTTTGGCATAGGTTTTCCTATCGGTGGGGGGGGCATTGTTTCTATGGTGACAAGTGACACGTTACATTATTACATTATAATTTTTTTTTTTCTTCAAGATTTTGAACATGCAATTTTTACTTACGACAAGTGATAAACGAAGTAGCGGTAGTAGGCTGCGGCCAGGTTGTTATTAACAACTCAGTATGATTAGGAGTCGAGGAAACTGTTGAAGGCCTGGTGGGAATGGGTAACTTTCTCGGCTGTGAACTGGGCAACGCTTGAACCGAGGTATCCATTTTCGACGACGGTTGGATATTGGTAGACATGTTTCATAAAAAAGAGGGAAGGGGGGGTGTTAGCGCGAGGGAAACGGAGTTACAATCTATGTTGATTGCAAAGGAGGCTCTTTTATAAGAAATTACGAAGGTAACAACAATAAAATACATCGAATAATTTTTTGTGGCCATAGATTAATAACTTACAGCTCTGCTATCCTTGTCCAATTATTCAACCACGCTTCGGAATATTGGCTGCAACCCGAGGCATGATAATATTGAATAAGTATGCATATGCTTTCAAATTTTTTACGTACGCACATATTGTTGCTATATTCTATTCATCACGCATTGTTCAGTCCGAAGAAAAGAGGTAACAAAGAAAAAAAAAGGCTGCATGAATATTGCATATGCAAAAACAATGCCTGGATTCTTTTTGCTATCGTACATTCAATTATTTGTAAATCGATATCAAATGAAAAAGGGTGATAGGGCATCATGGCGATTCTTGTAAATATTTGTTACAGCTTTAAATCTCGGTTTGTAAAAAAACAAACCAAAATTCTGCATTATAATGCATATATTTAGAAGTTTCGAAGTCAAGACTTTTTTTTTTTTTTTTATATCATCGTAAAGTATTTTAGAATACCTAAATTACAGTAACGGTTTTTTTTTATGCAAGATTTTTTTTTTCGCTGGAAAAATTTTTAATTAAATAAAATAATCAATAAGCAATCCAATAATGGTTGACACGAAAATTAATTATTATCAGTTATAGCAAACTTTTTTTTATATGCTGTATTTAAATAATTTTATTTAAATTATTTATTAAAAAAAAATTAACCAAATTGTAATAGAAATTTTCTATAATAAAAGAACCTATTTTCTTTTTTATTAGCTATTTGTATTTATTAAAAATTTTCATTTTTATAATTTTCTAAAAAATTAATCATATATATTGTATAATAATATTTTTTTTTAATTAAATAATTCTCAAAAAAAAAATTTTTAAAAAAAAATTTTTTTTTAATTAAATAATTCTCAAAAAAAAAAAAATTTTTTTAAAAAAATTTTTTTTTAATTAAATAATTCTCAAAAGAAAAAAAAACTTAGCAATTCATTGGTTTTTGGGCAATCAACAGTGACAAACTGTTGGCAATGATCCTGGTAGATAGAGGTTATTACCAATCTATTAGAGAAGTGAAATATTGTTTCCAAAATCTAACTTAGAGTACTTTTATATGAAAATGAGTTAGTCACTTTGTGAAAGTCTGTAAAATTTGTAAATTTATTTTCAATTTTTCAATAAAGACATGCCATTGTGGCATGACTGTAGGTTAAAAAAAAAAAAAAAAAAAAATTCTCAAAAAAAAAAAATCAATTATATATAATATCAAAAAATAATATAATATATCTATTCTTTTTTTTTTTTATTTATTCCCTCAAATAATGAAAAAATTTTTTTATTTTTTATTTTTTTTTTAATACCTTCTATCAAATTAGTTATATATATTTTATTAAACATTTATAAACTATATATATAAAATAAGATGCTAAAGCTAATTTTCTAATTAACTCACTTGTCTTGATTATATTACCCTCTAAATATAACTTCAAGGATGATTTATTGTTCTATTAATAGTTCAGGTAAAGACCTTTTCAATTTTTAACATTATTGTCTATAAATTATCACTGCAAATCACTTGTTTGAGTTCTGACAAAGACCAAAACTTAACCACTTTATATTATATTTTATATAATTTAATAAGATTTCTTTCAATTTTTTGTCATCAATTCTTTTCTCTTCATAATAAATTTTTTATAGATAGACTTTTTATACTTTTAATCTTACTTTCTTAATTCCGTGAATATATTAATCTTTTTATCTTGTCACTTTTGTAGATTTCTAATATCTATTCCTACTCAATTATCTTCTCACATTTGATATTCCATATTTTCTTTTAAAAATAATTACATACTTTTTTCTATATTTTTTATTATTTACCTGCTTACATATTTTCTGACTTTCTTAACACAATACTTTAAATCCACTATTTTTATAATTAAAGTTTTTTCAATTAGTTTTATATGAAAACTGAGTATATTTTGACTAGTTTTTGATATCCTTTTCACCAGTTTTACTATTTATTTATTAATTTCTCCTATTTTCATTCTATTATTTATTATTATATTTAACTTTTTCTTTTCAAACTCCTTTTTTTTATCTTTTAAAAGCTTTTTAAATTCTTTCAAGACTTTTTCTATTTCTTTTTATCATGTCTTATTTTACTAAGTCTTATAAGTTAAGCATTTTAATAAGTGTTCTATTATTTTCTCTTTTTAACTATACATAATATATTTTACTTGCTTATAAAAATCTGATCTTCTTATGATTAACTTAGTTAATATTGATAGCTTATTATTAATCAACTTAATAAGAAAACTTTTGTCTTATAAATTTTTAAAAAGGATATTTTATATATGTTTATTCTTTAATTATTTTCATACTAGGTTCCATATATATTTATACTAGTTATTAATTTGTCAATTAATTCTATCTCTTCTTAGTTCTATTTTGAGTTATCTATTGATAAACCATTATTTTATTATTTGTTTTTTTAATAACTTGTTTTATATAGATATTCAATACTATATCTTACTATTTAATTTCTGTAATAATCTTGATTAAGACAAGATTTTTTTATTTTATCACTGGAAACTTTAATTTTTCTTTGATAAAAACATATGTTTATTTATTATATTAAATATTAAAATATGTCTTCTTTATAAAGTTCAAGATTTGTATTCACAGGAACCAGTTTTATTCTTTTAACTATTTTTTGTGAGTTATTCTGGGGGTTCTTCTTTTCTATAATTTTTCACTTTAAAATATAGGCTTAATTATCTATATGGATATTAATCTTGCTATCTATTAGAGCTACTAGTAGTATAATTATTATTATTACTAATTCTACTTTAGTAGATAAAGATCAATAGTCACTCTAATTTGAAACTTGTTTTATTTTTCTATTTCTCCTATCTATATCCATGTTGTTTCTATATTTATATTTATACTTTCATAGTTTATAAAAAATTCATAAAGTAAAAAGTTATTGTTTTTTTTTTTTAATTATATTTAAGTATCTCAATTAGATGAATTTGATAAGCATCTTCTTTTATATAATCTTTGATAATATTTTCTTCTCAATTCTCTACTTAAATTGATAATATTCTTTTATTTAAAATAATTACTTGATTACTATAGATTGTTCTATATATTGTTTCTTCTAATGCTTTTTTGGAACTTAAAATTTTTAGTAGTTGAATATTTTTGATAAACTTTCTTGTATTAAGATAAAGAACTATATGTATTTTATTTATACTTGTTTCAATTATACATCAGTTTTCTATTTTTATACCTTTTGTATATTTCTAATACTAAATTAGTTTTGATTCTTGATTTTTAAAAAGCCTGATATATCTAAAGTATTCTAATTTTAATATGTTTTCTAATATTATTTAGAATCAATTTTTTTCAAATTATTTGTTACTGTTGAAACTTGCTTCTTGTGTTTATCCAGAGTTTCTATTGTTTATCAAAATTGAAGTTGAAAATAGAATATTCTAGACTCTATTTAATCTATTCTTCTTTTCAGCATTCTATAAGTTGTTTTAATTTATTTTCTCGTATCAACTCAATTATAGATAGATACCATCTTGAATAGATTCTTTACTTGTTTTTTATAAAAATTAAAACATTTGTCAATTTCATACTTCTTTTATTTCATAATCAAGTAGCTAGTCTATATATATTAATTTATTGTTTTTAAGTGATAGAATAGCTTTTCAATATTCTTCTATTGATAAGTATTCTCTAATTAAACTATTTCTTTAACTCCATTAAAAAATGTTATTTCATTTTCAGCTTTGAAAAATAATGTTTATGTTTTTTGTTAACTTTAATAATTGTAGCATAAGATTACTTCTTTTTAGAAAATAATTCAATAAACTATAAGTAAGCAGATTTATAGACTTTTAATATTTAATCTGTGCTAGTTTGAGTTTGATAATTGTTATAGATCTAGTTGGCTTTAAACACTCTTTAAGCCATAAATCTTGAGATGATATATTATATTATTGGATATTAATTAATATAATGCAATCTTATTTTTAAACAATTTTTATATGCTATTGTTAAAGTGTTGCATATCCTTCAAAATAGTATATTGTATTGTATTCTGAATTTAATTCTTGATATTAGTACTCTATTCAAAATATAAAAAGATTGTTTGTCAATTAGCTTTTTATTTTTTAGAGCTCTAGTAATCACATTGATTTTTTTAAGTATTTATTATTTAAGTTTGATAGCTATTTTTTAATTGCCTATTTAGATTTTTATAAACCTTGTTTGTTTAGTTTTATCTAGTTCTTTAACTATTTCTTTATTAATTCCAGCTTATAGTTTATCTAAATAATAATTGAAATCATTAATATTAATTAGTACTAATTTATTACTATTGATCTGAAAATTATTTGTTTTATAAAAGATTCTTGCTTCTTCTAGGATTTTTTTCATATTTTTCTTGAATTGTATTATCTACATGGTATATGTTATTCTATAAAGGAAGAGGCAAAGAAAAAAGTCAAATATTTCTTACTAGAAATATTAAAAATTTTAAATTAATAAATTTATTTACAATTTTTTATTATTATTCAAATCATTGATTTATAATTTATAATATTTCTTGACTT